GGCGAGGAGGCTCCTGAAACAGCCACTACTGTGGCTGCAGAGGGCTGGCGCAAAACCTTCTGCAAGGGAGGAAGGGACTGGAGACGCAGGAGGACGCTTTTCTCTTCTCCTTCCTGGAACCCCAGGCTGGCTTATCCTCCATGTCTTCCAAGGCCCTGAGAAGGTCTCTGAGCCCCCCATGAGCAACAGAGGGACCCAACATCGTGAGCATGGACAAAGACCGCGTTCTCCTTCCTGCCCGGAGAAGGAGCATCTCGCCCTTCCTTTGGAGAGCTAGCTGGGTAGGCGGCTTACCTGAGTAGGACCACTGGGACCCATGCTGGGCGGAGACGCCGAGGAACAGGGACAGCAGGATTGCCACAGCCCTCATGGTCTCGGGAGCTGGAATCAGAACCAATACCAGGGAGACTCTTCTTTTAAAAGCTCAGAAACTGTAAATAACAAATGACCGAACCCAGTTGGCTGATCCACCTTTTACTGCGCCCACTAAAACAATAACATCCTGACAAGGCCCTCTGACGTGATTCCATTGTCCAGGTGGCCCGCACACCCACCTGACCTCCTCCTGAGTCATGGCCATGGCCAATTAGCTTTCGTTTGGTTATTAAAGGTCTCCACTTAGGAAAACTCACAAGACCACACAGTGCCGCCTTTGTGGACCCAGGTCCACGGGACAGGAAAAATGCCCAAGGCAGAGAGGAGCGGGTGGCCAGCCTTCCCCACCAGTGGCACATCCTGCTCCCTCACTGCTGGCAAACAGAACCTTAGGAACTAGTGAGGGCCACCTCCGGGGCACTGACAGTCCTGGCCTGGTCCCCTCGGGATGCCCTACTTGTTTCTGGGACCAACCACCCCTCCAGATGCCTGCTGACATCAGATGTCACAGCGGGTTGCTGTCATTGCTAACGGCCATCGAGTCGGCTCTATCATGGCGCCCCATGTGTGCAGACAGAGCTTTGCCCCACAGGGTTTTCAAGGCTGGATCATTTACGAGGATGGCCAGTATTCTCTTCCAGGTGGCCCAAGGTGGGTTTTAACCACTTGTCTTTTAGATAAGACTTTAACTTCTGTGACAACCAGGGACTTCAAACCACAACGACACCTGGGGAAATGGCTGGCGCTTCATATTCTGGCCTGACATGAAGGGTCTCATCTGGATGTGCTGACCCTCTGGTGTTTGACCCTGAGCCCCGGCACATGACCCAGGAGCCACAACCCAGCACACGCCTTCGGGCCAACCCAGCAAGTGTGGGAGTCCATGCTTCCTCCTGGGACGTGTTGGTTCTGACAGTGGCGTTGCCCTCGGGCACA